TTTTGAAAAGTGCCAATTTCAGACGAATTATGAAAGAAAAGCGGAAAACGCCTGCAATGTGTCGTTCAAGAACGAGGAACGTGATGTGGAAACGATGCAGGACATTAATAAACTTCTTATCGAAAATATTCTGCCCAGTAGTGTCGCCTGCAAATTCCTGGCTCCGGATAGGCCAGTCGATGTAGGTTTACCTACTTATACTTATACGGCTCGCCCTGCATTCGCAGCTGCTTTATGTGATTGACAGAGTGCATCTCCCCATCTCGCAGCAGGTCTCCCTTTGGACCGCGAAAATCCTACGGGAGCCCACTCTACCGTTCTTCTTGTCCACCTGTCATCTGCTCTCCTCATGATATGACCGGCCCATCGTAGCTTGGCGTTTGTCATGTACTCCACAGGGTCTCGGAGACGGGACATTCTGCGTAGGTACGCGTATTCGGCGTAATGTAACATTCCTAATCATTCCCACTCGTTGATATTTACCAATCCTAGCAATGGGTAGGAGACAGCGTTAGTCATTGTTTTGAACTAATTTTGAAGCGGGAGGGGAAACGGGTAGCGACAAGTCTCCGTTCCCTATTCTTATCCCATACTTCAGTGATCGATGGTCGCAAAACCTGTACCAAGTACCACGCTCCAACTCGCCCGCTAAACTTCAAAAGCCCCTCGAGTGAGGGTGATATTCTTCCAGTTTTCCTCTAAACTTCGCTAACATCCCAGACAATCCTGTTTCAAATCTCCAAAGAAGCAGTTTCAGTCTCCTCATGCGTCCTTTCTTCGCACCCATGCAATTATGGTTCTTTCAAGGAATCGCTCAAAAACCAGCTGACGCTATGAGTGCATGTGGGCATGTCCAACCAGCAATATATTTCTGAGGAAGGATTCTGAAGAGTACGGTTATCGGTTTCAGGAGCTGTATGCGCGTCAACATGAAAATGTTTGCGTGATGTTCGCATCCATTCCAAATTTCAAGGATTTCTGGAGTCAGTGGGACACCAGTCGGAAACTCGAATGTCTACGACTTCTCAACGAAATCGTGTGCGAATTCGACAAGGTTCAATTTATATACGCTTTTTCCTCTCCGTAAAGGATAAAATAGGTTTAAAACGTCACATCACTCTTAACAAAGTATCAGCTTGAAAAGATGATCAAGCACTGTGGTGTTACGGTAGTCCTTAAAAGTAGCCAAAGTCCCTTGCACTTGCTCCACGGAAGCGAGTAGAAGTGAGCGTACAGCAATGACGTTTGATTTTGTTCGTAGGAGTTGACCCTTTTATTTTTTATTGAAGTGATGCACAAAAAAGTAAACAAAAGCGGAAAATAGTCAGTAAATATTCCACAGAATGCGGGTTGTGAACAGAACTTGCCTCAGGCGGGACTAGAACCCGCACTCCTCGCTTCCCAGACAAGTGCGCTACCAGTTACGCAATCAGTAAATAATATAGGGCGGTTGCTAAAAGAAGAACGCTACCTTTTTACATGCAATGGTCAGGATCTTTTATCCTGTTCCCTTTGAAAAATCAAAATATTTACTTTCCCTTTAAGCTGCTCTCTAAGCCGAAATTCTCGTCAATTGAAAAGATCAAAACCGTCTCAAGCACCTACATGGCGGCAGCCGGTCTGAACGAAATGGAAGCCGATCTCGATGATTGCGTGAGTTGAAAACTCTTCTTATTTTCTTTTTCTTTAGAAAAATGCTCAAAAAATTCAAAAACGTCCTTGGGAAAGTGCGATGAAAATATCTGTGTTTTCTACGAGAAAAAAATTTTCAGGAATTCACTGAGGATAATCGCAGTGCGAATCACGCCATTGTCACTAACAACAATGTCATCAATATCAACACGAAAGGCGATGGGCGAAATCTTGTGAGTTCGATTTTGAGACCTAGACATAATGAAAACGGATGTGAAAAATCGATAATTGATCGGAATATGGATCGATGAACGAATTGTCGGTAGATGGCTCGAGTCTGGAACAACATCATTGTAACCTACATTTACTCGAAGTATTCTGAGAACACCCATTATTCATATAGATTAGACCAATAATGATTGAACAAATTGGCGACATCGTGCCTATCGGGAGTGGGGGGGAGGGGTCGACGGACTACTTGAACCCAGCCCTTTAAACCGCCTCTGCGTTCTCTCGTGGGTCCCTCTCCTCTCCAAGGCTTAGTCCTAGGGCATTCACCCGTTCTCTAATCGTCTGTGCTCTAGCCATCGCGGCAGGACCATTGAGGAAAATTCAAGTAGTCCGTAAACCGGGAGGGGGGAGGGACCAACCGCTAAACATGGTGTCAGATTCCGAAGAGGCTTCGTTTCAGGACGCCTCAGAGGACAAGCGGGGACAGAGGCGCGTGGGCACTTCCTATTCTCTCCAGGATTCGTCCCTCTCTGTTATGCTTAGGAATCCTAATCTTACAACCCCTCCCCCCCCTAGAAGGCACACTGCGCCTACAACTGTTTTGGCAAAGAAAACAAGAAGACCTGAAGTCACCCATTTGAGGAAAGACAATTCAGATAAGAAAAAACTCGATGTGCACGAAATTTTCTGCAATTACAGAATTTGAAAATGTACCGTAATGCGACGATGATGATTGAATTCGCCTTGGCCATGTCGCAGATACTCGATCAGCTGAATCGTGATTCATTCCAGAACTTTGAGTTACGGATAGGTGAGTAACAATTTGAAGTGAGTGCTGAAATAGTCTTTGGAACTGAGGTCAAGAATTCCGTTCTTCTAATAATTCCAGATATTTGACACCCCCCGCGCACGGGCGTCTCCACAACGGATCCTTTTTATATCATCCAACATCAACACCTGTCTCACAAGGGTCCTTCATAGAACCTTGAATCACTATCTCTCTCCACCAACAAAACAGTTGCTGTGCTGTTTCTACAGTATATGTTTTCAAGCGGTGGAGTCGTTTCAACTCGCACTTTTTTTCCTTGCAATTGCGTCGAGGCACGGTGCTGAGAAGGGGAGGTGGCGGGAGGGGGGGGGGGGGCAGAGAGGAAGGGGGCTAACTCCGACTTAAGAAGCGCCGAATTCTCTAATTTTGCCAAATTCGTCCAATTCAAGTTTTTCATGAAGTTTTCGCCAACCCGTCAAACATGTCCGCATTCTCGACCCCAGCGGCTTCCACAAGTACGACCTCCCTTTCGACGTTGTGAACTTTGTCGTTATCGACTCTTCTGAGTCACTTGAGAATGCGCCATGCGTCCGCGGCTTTCACAGGCAGACCACACTTGGTCTTTGATGGGAGTATCCGTTTTAAAGAGTTGGTCGACACAGAGCCCATCGATTTTTACTCTGTTCAGACCCGATTTGAATAAGGGTTTTGCCTCTACATAGCCAACTTCGAGGGGTTGGGAGTTTTTGGCCTGGAGTCGATGCCATATGTCCCAGTGGGACAAACAGCACGGTGTACCGCCCCTTCTACGACGAACAAATTCTTTTTTCGGGCTGAGAGACGCGCCACCGTCCATCCCTATCCCATTTTTCTTTATACCAATTTTAACGATACTTTTTTTAATGACTTACTTTCAGGCATGAGTGTTGGCCCACTCGTTGCTGGCGTTATCGGCGCTCAAAAGCCGCAGTACGATATCTGGGGAAACACGGTGAACCTTGCCAGTCGAATGGACACTCATGGCGAGCCAAGGAAGATACACGTATGATTTAGTCCGCTTATGTTCCAAATTTAAGGCAGAATATTAGAGTTAAAGCAAAGTAAGGTGAGTTAGGTTAAAGTAAAATAAGAAGAGTCCCCTCGGATCCGTAAACGACAGTGAAATGGTTACGAATTTATCACCTAACCAGGAGTGATTGTGAGAGTGAACCGTCCAACGTCACTCACAGACAAAATCCGGTGATGAAGCCGTGGAGATGGGCGGCCATAAGACGGTTTTTCATTTCGACTTAAAGGCACAGGGTGCGATTGCAAGGGAGATGTGCTGAATAGAAAGGAATTCAGGGTGCCTAAGCATACGAATATGGCGCGGTTATGGCGGAGGGTATGCTTGGCTGATCATGGCCTTATTTCTCTTAGCGCTCCTCCCTCGAGTTATGCCATACCTCCAAGTAGCTAACCAAGCCGCTGGTCTTTATCCGTCTGCGTCCTAGCCCACGCAGCAGAGAAGCAGAGCACGGCGTTCTTCGTTGATGATGCGGAGCTAACGCTGAATCTCGTCCAGCGCTGAAATGAGCAAGTGAAAGGAGGAGCCAATTTTTCTTGATTTCTCCTTCACTAGAATAGTGAAGGAGAATTTCAATCCATCTTGCGACAACCTACCAAATTCACTATAGCCAGTGCCTCTCAAAAAATGGATCCCTTGAAAGTAATAGATGTTTTTGCTCTGCTAAATCATAAAGGCAGATAGCTTCGAAAATAATTTTTCAGGACAACTACAAGTATCGGATCCTGTTGAAATTGACCTGCCTTTTCGTCCCCCCTTCCCTGCCCCCCCCCCCTTCCCGCGCAACATTCCTTCCCCACCGGCTCCGCACATCAGCAAGTGACATCCACCATAAAATCTAGTCGCTGTGGTTTTAGTCAATGTGTTGGAATTTTGACAGCCTTCTATGGCTGGTTCTGCTGCTTCTGACTTTTCTAATACTCTTTCCTTTTCATCGATCTCAGATTCCTATATCACAAAGAAGTAATTCAGGTAACTCCAGAAATGGGTGAAATTTTGAAGCGTGGTGGCTACCGTGTTCAAAGTCGTGGAAAGATCAAAGTGAAGGGCGTGAAGGTAGGTCTTCCGTTTGAACAATATGGCCAAAAAAGGTGGGCCGAAAATGAGGCTATGTACGGCGCCAACAACTTTTCTTCAACCAAATTACAATCCCTCCCCATCAGTATGGGCCAACGTTCGTCCGATTGACTGTTCTCTTCAGTCCCCATAATTTCACTTTGTGCGTCTGCGAGCTTAAGTGCACCTTTGGAAAAAAAACAATAGTAGAGAAAGCACGAAAAAAAAAGTAATTTCAGGAACCGATGGAGACATTCCTGATAGAAATCGACTCGAAAAGAAATTCTTCCGTCTCAAATATCTCGAAACCATCCAAGTACATCCTGAAGATCGGTGCTTCTGGTGCTGATTTGAGTGATCTGCTTACCTATAGTGTTAATTTATTGATAATTACTGGTACAACACGCTTCTTCTTTTTGTCTGTGCATTGGTCAGTCTAATAAAATTCTATAAGTTTCTAGTCTAGCTCTATTCATCTCAGGTGATCTTCGTGAGAACGCCAGAGCAAACAGAAAAAAAGCAAAGAGCGAAAAAAAACCTTTCCGTCACGAAAGTGGGATGCAACTTTGGCAGAAACGAAAAAGAAGAAGGAGGGGTTCTTTAGGCCGATGTCAGACTTTGCGAATCGCGCGATTCGCTAGCGTCTGCGGTCGCGTCGCGGCCAGTGAATCACTCAATTGGCTGGTACCGCAACGCGACCGCGGACGCTAGCGAATCGCGCGATTCGCAAAGTCTGACATCGGCCCTGTAAGAACTTCGTATAAATATGTATACTCTGTATGCTAGATCTCCAACATTTCTCCATATACAAGCGGAATATTTGCACAAAAGATCAAATGATTAACAATTATCATCAGAGGCTAAATCAGTGAAAAGCTTCCAGATACCACATTCCGAGCTAATGTCTTACTCAGATCCTTCAGCGATAACGGGAAAGACAATGGTTAGACATACAACCGTCTCATTCGCACATCTTCAGGGGAATGCGCTATCGCAGGGTACGTCATTGAGGTACAGTGCCATTCGGAATCGCGTAAATATCCCCTTCTGGTTGAAAGTCAGATGATGCTACAGGCGGAGGAGGGGCGACGCCAGAGTGCGTGAGATTTTTCATTTACACCAGAGCTTCCCTGCCCCCTCTTAGAGGTCCTAGAGGTTGCCCCTGTATCCTGCGATAACGACGAGTGATGTAGTGAAGGGAGACTGTACGAAAGCGTACGGCTCAGGCTCCTTCTCAAGATTCGGTGTGATCATCCAGCCATATAAGGTGTTGCCGTAAGTAACGATAGGGTTAGCAGAGATTTCTGAGAAAGAAAACCCAAAGAAGAGTCCTACAAGCTGTTTGGAAGAAAAACACGGTACCTCATGCTTAAACTAATACCACTGAGGTTGGTGAAGCTGTTAGAAGCAAAAATAATTTGGGCACAACATTAGCAACTTATTACAAATTTTCGATGTCGCACATAGGGTGGATTTCGCCGCAAGATCACTAACTAGGGAAACGAAGAGTAGGGAAAAAGCTGATCCATATTCAACGGAATAGTCTCGGCATGGACGAGGGAGTCCAAATTCGTGCCTTGACAAAATCAGCGCCACACTCGTGGCAATGGGAACCGTTTAGTCAATCTGGCAGCCGCCCACGTTAAGGCGCTGAGGCCGCTTCTTACTTTACTTTAACTTGACAGTACTGAGTGAGTCTCTTAATAGTACTTACAAGTTTCCTTTCATGTTTTTTCCACGAATGCATTTGCTCGTTTCCAATTATCTCGGAAGGAAAGCTCAGGCTCATTTTAAAAGAAAGGAATCCCGCACTGAAGCCACCTTGGAAAGCGGAAAAATTTTTATATGTTCTATGAAGTTGGCACCGAGCTGAAGTTATGTGAGAAGAACTTATAAAATTCTCATGAACTAAGTCTCCCCAGAAGGGCGTTTAAAGTCATGGAAAGTTCCTCATCTTGAAAGTGACCGGATTTGGGGGTTCAGGTCACGCTGGTGGATCAGGCGTGCATGAGCTTCGAATTGATCTATCCAATATTGCCCATAAAGAACCGATCGAATCTCAGGGACGAGAGAACTGAGGGAGCCTTTCATCCGCATGCCTTCACTCATTATATCACTACGTTTGTCAGAAATTTCAGGTTCAAAAGATAAAGACCGGAGTTCGTGCCGCCAAATCGCTTGGTTCTCGGGATAGTGATCTCAAACCGACACCCTCAGCGGCGGTTAAAAACACCGATGAAAACGTTACCATCAGGCATTGATCAATTTGGTATGCGTAACCTGTTGCGCATAGCACCAAAAGAGAAGAGGAGAGTGGCCTTGTTAACGGGCCCGGATTGTCGCCATAGCAATGTTATGACAACATTGCCGTGCACGCAAAATTGGTGCAGTGGCAAGGGGCGCAACTTCAAACGTGCACGGTCCGTGGGACAAACCTATCGTTGGCCAGGCAGGTCAAACAAAGCCTTTTGTCTCTTCGAGAGTCGTACATTGGATACCAGACGAAGAAACTCTAATCTTACTTACTTCTCGACCGCTATTCGTCCCGGGCACGCCAGAAACGCAGGTCGCACATCTTCCAGGTCGCTCTGCTTCGGGCTCTTCTGCGCCACAAACTGGCCGTACATCTTCACGAGAGGGTCTGCCCATCTGGTGGGGGGTCTGCCTCTGGGCCTTGTTTTTCCCCTTGGGTACCAGTCAGTGTGTCTAATGGTAAGAAGAAAACCGCGACTTGTGGGTTGGTTAGCCATACCCCTGCAAATACCACTGCGATTCGAATGGAAATAGCAATGTTAACCCAAGAGGGACAGACAAAGGTGGAAAACTTTGTCTATCAACGCAGGCATAAATACCTTCGGAAAATAGCTCCACGTCACAAATATGCTAATGAAATTACGGTAGCAGTGCTGCTTTAATAAAATATGAGCTGTTTCCTTATCTCAACTGACGGCCGAGAATATATCAGGAGCTCCATGTCTGCGTATAAAATCGCACACCGGATCGTATCATCGAAAAACCATTTCAGTTCTCATTTTCCTCTGATTTCAGGGAATTCTGGAAACTGCTTGAGCAAATGCACATTTACAGATGAGACTCTGTGCTTTGCTGTTCGTAGCTGTACTGGCGATCAGCCTGGACGCTGCCTTCGGGACGATATTGAGGAAAATCCTTAGAAGGAGGTAAAGCATTAACTAAAAATGTGGACTAAGAATGCACCAAATGTGCTGCACTGCAGCCTCTCGAGATTGGAGAAGAGCTTGAGCGAGGGTGCCGAGGAACGCTATGATCGCCCCTACTACGACATTCGTGACTACAACGTCTATGGCAGTGACGATGATGATGACGATGATGATGATGATGATGATGATGATGATGATGATGATAGTGATGATGATGATAATTATTATGGTTTATAATAATGGTGGTGATGATGATGAAGACGACGGTGACGACGACGGTGACGACGATGGATACGATACTTATCAACGCCATAAGCACGATCATTATCACTATAACCCCTATGATGGCTACCGTGGAAGGTATGATAGGTATACGCGTTGGTCAAACTAGAAATAGAGCAGTAAACAATATTTGCAATAAAATTTAAATTTTTGTTGTACATTGAGATGACCACACCGATCGACACAGGTAGATATGAGGCCAAAAATGCACTTTTGAAAAGTGTAGATAACGCGGGTTGGTCAGGAGGTTCATCGCGTGGCGAACGCGGCATCGAGCCGTGGATATTTGTTGCAAGGGCATCGCGTCTGGTTTTCTTCGGGCTAGTTGCGCGACGGGCCTCATGACCCACTCCCGTTAATCGCATACTGGAACCACTTTCGCAGTGAATTTTCGATGAAAGAAAACCCTAACAGGGACGCTACCACTTTCTCGCTTCCATCCTTTGCAGTACATAAAACAAAACCCTGAAAGAAATTAATATCTAAGCTATTATTTAGCCATTCTTGTGAAACTTTGAACCCTAGTTATCTCTATTTAAGTCATGTAGCAAAGTTAAATGCCATTAAAATCAGAAGGACTAGTGATTAGGGAGCTTTGTGGGTTCGTTAAATCGAAGCCCACTTGTGCGAGCTGTAAATCATTTGCATCGTAAAAATTTGAACGTTCCTCCATGTAAGGCGAAAACATTTATTCCAAACCCAAAATGATTTTATCCTAGTGACACAAGATTGAATTGATGAAAAAACCCTTAGCCACGTCCTAGGCCTGTAAAACACAATTCAGTCCTTATCCCCCTTCAAAAACTCGCAATATTGAAGCAGAGAGGAGGATCACAGCGTCTACATGAAGGCTAATCAATGAATTTTGACTTGTTTTTGTTTGTTAACTGCTGTTTTAACGCCGCAGTTCGCGTTGCGAATGTTTCACAAGAATGCTGGGTTGTGAACAAAACTTTTCGCCCCAGGCGGGACTAGAACCCGCACCTCTCGCTTTCCGGGCAAGTGCGCTACCAGTTACGCTACCGAGCCTCGCGGTCATTGCCGATATCGGCTAACCGGCTCAACACGTTATACGTGTGAGTGCTGAAAGCTATGGTACGTATACCATGAAAAGCTGAGTTGGAATGAAATGGTGCCCCGGTAGCGTAACTGGTAGCGCACTTGCCCGGAAAGCGAGAGGTGCGGGTTCTAGTCCCGCCTGGGGCGAAAGTTTTGTTCACAACCCAGCATTCTTGAAGCATAACCCCGTCTCTGCACATTTGAAGCCCTTACATTTCATTCCCGTTATCGATTAGAAAAATAGGTGAAGAGGAAAAATCGTTAATTGATCGGCAAGGGAGAATTACATACGCATCGACTCTGTGGTCTTCGCCCTCCGAGCTCTTTGCCGAACACATATCCATCGTCTGTTCGGTTTCTCACTCAATCACCTGATAGGCGGACATCTTTTCCTTGGCGCTATCGCATGACAAAGGGGCAGTGCATTTGAAACCGCGTAAAACATCCCTTCTGTGAAAACAGGCATCAGTCTTAGGCGGAAATGGAAAGACGTGCCTAAGCAATTTTTTGTCCTTCCTGGTGTTCCTGATCCCCTTAGGCCTGGTTCTGCACTATGCCCCCGTAACTTGCGATAGCTCATTTTCTTTTTGCCTCGGTTCCTATTCTGCTGAGTCGTTGGCAATGAACAAGATCTCAGGTGGGAGAAGCTGAGTTCTTGTACCTCTGTTCTGTAGGCGGTTTCGAAAGCGTCCACCGACTGGTTACGAGGGGGATATAACGAGGACCACTGGATAGCATAACCTCTAGCAGCTATGAACAGTAATATTATCATATATTTATTATTTTTGACAATACTACGAATATGATCGAGTAAGACCCTCACCAAACC